CCCCAAAACCCCAAAACCCCATACAATAAGATTATATTAGATTTTGAGATGTTTCAGATTTAATTGTACAGTTTATCTAATAAATTAAGGTTAATATAATTATCACTTTCTTTTTAACTTTAGATATTCTACTCAATAAAGTAAACTGCATGGAGATTCAATTTTTGACTGGAGATTTTCGCGATGATATAGATTTCATCCCAGCTAATTAAGATGATGATGATTTTCGATTCAATACACTTAAGTTCATTTCAGAACCCCGATTCCTTTTATATTTATTTAGATGTGATTCCATATCATCGGTACTCTTAATAACACTTGAAGCCATTTTATTCTTCGACTGTCTCTTTATTTGTTCTATAAATAGATCATTTAATCTAGGATTAATTTTTACTTAAAGCATATGCGAGAGATCTCTACGATTACTAACCTGTTTCCTATTCATCTTACTTACTTTCAACTAGAACCGGCAATGAAAACTAGCTTTTTGTGTCCTTAGTTGACTCATACATATTTTACCGACTTAACGCACTGAAGTTTTATAGAGATTTGTGTGTTTGAAGTGTATTCGATTCTTTAGGAGTAGAATTCTTACCAGTAAACTTTATCGAGGATTAGAAGTAATTTGTATTGGTAGGGTCTTTCAATCCAAGCCTTTGAGATTTCTAAAAATTAGTGCCAGTATTAGTAGATAATCTCTCAGCCATAATCTGTAAGTAGTCATCATCCAGTTCCTATAGTATATCAAGTATATCTGGATTTTCCTCAAGACTTGGATACTCAACTTAATTATCAGAATTAAGCTTCACTCTCGCATAAATTTTGAATCTTTTCTAAACTCCTCTGACCACATTTTTATTATTGCTCATTTCTTTAGAAATAACTTTGAGTATTTTTTCTGAGTCTTCAATGGTCGTCATATATGCAATACTTTCTAATGCAATGAATCTCACCTTTAAACCTAATAATTAAATATTTCTCTAATAATTCTTACTCTTATCATTTAAAAGCTAAGCCAGTCCTTTAACAGTTGAATGCATATCAAAGCCTGCTGATCCCTTAGAGGTTAAGAAACTATAGATCATTAGATTCATTATTTCTTATTTAATGTTAAAATGAGGATATTGCAAATATGGTACTAGCAATTCTAAGAACTTCTTTATCCTAAATATCTTTAATAAATGCTTGAATGCCTCTGTAGTCTCGACTCTAACTCTTTTACTTTTCTCTGCGTATTTCTTTATCAATAATGGTACCAGCCTCTTTGGCTCAAATTATTTTATAAGATTTACAGTTGATAACACTTTATTCAGGATTTAAATTGCTACTGCAGCTACGTTTTCATTGTTATCATTTATGTACTTTATGATGAAGTTGATAAAATCATCAAGTTCGTTCTGGATTGATTGAATGTTGATATTTTTAGCTAATATATTTGCTATTTCTTCTATTGTTTATATTCTTTTATTTGAAGTGTTATGTTCTGATAGATTCTCAACAAGATCTTAAGAAATAACTCCAAATAATTTCTCATCAGGCTTAGGCTATTCTACTGGTTCTTGCACAATCTCTATTACTGGTTCACTTAATTTCTCAATTATTTCTTATTATAGCTTAGGCTTACTTTTCTTTGGTTTTACTGTCCTAATATTTTTAATAGTGCTAGTATTCTAAGCTGCTAGAAATTCTCCAAGACCTTATTCTAGTTACAATAGTTAAAGAAGAGTTTATCTTGAGAGGTATGACATTTATTTAGCTACCTCCCCAAAATATTTATGATGTTAGATAATTTTAACTAGCAGTTGCTAAGCCAATTTTTTCATATTCTCTATTTATATACTGAAAACTATTAGCAATTCCTCGACCATGCTCCTGTATTCAACTGTAATTGAAGAAGTTTTTATGATAATTTCATTGAAACGGTCTTAACTAAGTAATTAAAGCAAGAATTTTAAAAATTTGGTTCATTGGCTCTCAATTTTCTTCAAGTCTTTCAAGTTAAAAGAGCATTCTTGGTAGAAGATTTCCTAAAGAGGCGAGTTCTAAGAGGTATAAGAAGTCACTGATAGTGAAATAGCTGGGTTTTAAGAGAGAGTGAGGATAATTTCATAAACTTATTGCTCAGCTTTCGAGCCTGTAAGGACTCCTGAGTAATGGATTGCCAACTGAAACACATTTTCAGTGAATTATTATTCTTTCATCACATTTGGCATTTAAGCTTAGAGCGCATAGATTGATTATACTTGGATGGCTTTATTGCTCTATTACAGTCCTTAATCGATTATGTCTATAATCTTTTTCTAAATTTCATTGACATCGATCTTTTATGGGTGCATAAGTTCATCCAGTTACTTCGTGAGATTTTGCTTTTTGCCTTAGGTTTTAGACCTCTTTTATTCTTTCCCTTTGAGAGGGCTCTCTGTATGTAGAGATTTTCGCTTATCCATAAACTTATTTTTCTTCTAATCCTAAATACTATCTTTTTACTCCATTATAAAACAAAAATATTCCCTATTATTAATTTTCGAATGATTTAATTTTGCTTAAAATTTATCTTTATAATTCGGGGTTTTGGGGTTTTGGGGTTTTGGGG